ATCAGAAAGTTCTTCCCAATATCCAACCTAAATTTCCCCTGCTGAATCTTGAGGCCATTGCTTCTCGTCCTGTCTCCTGTGGCCACAGAGAAAAGACAACAGATGACAAAGACAACAGCATTGCCAATATGGGATGTGCGCCAGACCCAGACATAGCTCAGGCATATCCACTTGAATGTTGCATGCTACTAGTTTCTGATGCTGTATTTAGTAAAGTATTACAGAAAAGAGCAAAAAGTATTTTCAGTGTTGCAGGGAAGGAAATTTAGAGAAGTTCCAGTTCAAAACACCACTTTAATAGGCATTATATAGTACAGCGAACTAGGGCTTTTTACTAGAAAAGACACAGAACTGCCTTTAGAAGCAAACTTCTTAAGTCAGAGGCAGATCAGGCTGCACTGCTGGTCCTGATGGCCATGCAGAGAAGTGAGATGTCCATTTTAAAACTACAGCCTTGACACAATGCAGTATGAGTACTCCTTTGTGGCATGTCAGAGGAGCAGATAGAATCACATTATGTTGGTTTTGTTTATTTCCCCTCTCACTGACCCTCAGTTGGCACCACTCGTCTTCGATATTCAAGTAACACCAGGAGGAAAAATGAGAAGTCCTGGATGACAGTGTTATCAGTATACCAAGGACACCTAGCTTTTCCACTCTTGTGTTCAGTACTGACACTGCTGCCTCCTGCTATCACAGTGTATGAAGGGGAATAGAACTTGGAAGTTGCCAAGTTCAGGAAGGTTCAGAAGCTGTAAGCACATTACTGAGGGCATGTGCCTTCTTGCAGCCACATTTGTATGAAGCCCTGCTGGATTTTTTGGTGTTTGTGAGTCCTGAGTAAATAATTCTGACCAATAATACACTATCTTCCATTAACCTAGAATGCAAGCTTCAATTTTAGGTGCAGACTTAACCTCTATAAATCTAGATTTCATCACTGTCTGGCTGGGTTATTGCAAAAGGTTTTGTTTCTGGGGTTGACCACTAAAGCCACAGAAGACTCATGCAAGCAGGTGCTGCAAACCAGGAAGATCACATTGAATGGGTGCTCTACTTTCTTTACTGGCCCCTGTCAAGATCCAGACCTAGTGCAGTATGTTGGTCCTGATCTTAAAAGCTGTAAGGGATGAGTCCCACTATAATGTAAAAGATGTCCATGACCTGGCATAGTACTAGAACACTTGGGGACATGGGGACTGAAAATCCACAAGGTGAAATGCTTCTGTTCCAAATTCAAGGGTTTCCCACATCTGTGAAATTCCCTACCAGCAGTGATTATTAGGAAAAATCACAATTGTGTTATTTATAAGATGTTGTGTATGGGACTTCTCTTGCAGACTCTTAGTGATATGTCTATAGACTGGCCAAGAATTAACCTCCAGGGAGCCATCATATTGATCCTACTCATGGTAACAGCTAAAAGGGATAGAACAGAAGGTTCAGGACCCAATTTAAAATATATATATTGTGATTCCTGTTGATGTACATGGCATCTAAATTCTGGTTTAGATTCTTGAGCTACATATCAGACTTGGTATTCACTATCTAGAACTTTGTATTGTTTTGCCATCTAGTGGTCAAAGATTATATAGCATTAACACAAAACTGCAATATATACATGCTTGTATGTATACCCCACTTAAGTTGACAGAGACCTTTTACAGCAGTGATTCTCAACCTTTCTTGTACTGGGACCCATTTGTAAACATTGATGGACAGTCCCTACCCAGCACCCCTCACTCCCAATCTGCTGCCCCTGCCCCAGCACTCCAGTGTGTGGGGCAGGAGGGGGTGTGTGTGATGGGCCATGGGGTCCCTATGCCAGCCTGCAAAGGAAAAAGCCATGGTTTCCTACACTGTTCTCCTTTAAAGGAGAATCCATTTTTAAAGTTTGTTCATGGTCCTTTCATATATTCTTGCAACCCACTTTTGGGTCACGACCCATGGGTTGAGGAACACTGTTTGACAGCATCTCAAGGTCACAAAAATGTCTGCTATGGAGTCAGACACATGCAGAGAGGTGTGGGAATTTTAAAAATGATTAACCACTTTTTTTCTCCCTGAAGCCAGCCTATAAGTCAGCATAGGTAGGAAGAGCATTTGCAATGTGTGAGAGAGATTAATTTTTTGATTGCCTAAAAATGGACTAGCTGCCACACAAACAAAATTGCAGCCTCTGCCTAGAAGGCCACACAGTCTTGATTTGGTGTGTTTGGGGTACATTTCCTCCCTGGGGGTCTTGTAGGCTTCCAGGCAGAAAGAGGCTTTCAAAAGAGTGGTGAATGAGATGAGAGCAATAGCTTGGGTAAACAAGGATCCTCAAAAGTAGCAGGAGCTGTCAGGCTCTAACGGTTCCCTTCCCTTTTAATTTGGTAGAAGCAAGACGTAGATCTAAACCTGTCTGCAGTTTTCCACCACTGTACAGTATCACTAAGGATGGTGAATGGAAAATAAAGTCAGATATCATCATCCTAAACTGGAGACACAATTCTAAACCTGTTTGATAGCCTGCATGCCCTTTCATAGCACTGGATGAAGTGAGCTGTTGCTCACAAAAGCTTATGCATTTCCTATTCAGTTAATCTGTAAGGTGCACCTGTCCACACCTGTACACTGTCTTCCACTAGGCTCATCACAGCATGTTCCAAGGTTTACCTATGAATTGTGGAATCAAAATTTTTTTTATCAGTGGCCTTTAAATTTGATCACTTGTTTCCTCCTTCTTGCATTACCATTTTGATGATGTGGGCTGTTGTTCTATTGTCTGGCTAGCCACACAGGCAAGACATTAATAAGAGAAAGAAGGGTTCCTTTTGACCTCACAAAAATGACACAGGTTTTGAATTATGCTGTAGGTTGCAAGTAAGAGAGAAACAGTGGGGAAAAAAACCCAGTCATACCCAGTTCACTTTCCCTTTCATGATCCACTCTCTGTCCCTGTGTGACATAGGATAGGCAAGATGGACCTGTGATCTGATCCAGTAAATGGCAGTTCTTATGTTCTTATTATGTTACTTTTGTATGCTGACTTAATTATTGTAATTTAGGACTGATTTGGTGTTTTTAGTTTTCCTGAATTTTTAAAAGATCATATTCATTTCATTATGTGGTGCTGATTTTAAATGTTTCACTTACCTCCTCTCCCCTGTATTGAACTCTAATGCCTATGGCTGACACACCACATATTGATTAACTTTGCTCTTGTAATATGATAGATGGCAACCTCAGTGACTAAACTGACCTCTCTACACTGAGACATTTTTGGTAACTTTGCCATGTTATCTCTTCCTCATTTCTTCTCTAAACTAAATAAGCTTAATGTTCTTTTTGTCTCAGACAGAAAGTTCTCCATGCCTCTGGCTTCCTTGTCCTCTTCAGAGGTTACATAAAACTAAAATCTGGACCAAGCCTATTAAGAAATAATCATAGCATCTTTGGCACAAAACAGACTGTCAGTTCTGAACTGTATCCACATTCTAGATAGGTGGTAACAGTACATGCTGCATCCCTGCACTTTAGTGCAATCCAGACCCCTGCCAGAAAGAGCCCAGCTTAGCCCCAGCCCCAGTCCACAGCTACTGTGAAATGACTGGTTAGACTGCACTAGAAAAAAAATGTGTGATTTATGCTGGATTACAAAACTGAACTTCAATCTGTGCCATATGCTTACTACTAAAAATGCTACTAGCATATAGGGGAATATTAAGAGAAACGACATCACAATTCTTCCATTCAGACTGGTAAGGCCTCTCTCGGAGCACTGTGTCCAGATTTGGTAATCACACTTTAATAAAAAGGTGGCCAAACTGGAACAAATCCAGAAGACAACAACAAAACTGATTATAGCTGTAGAAAATATTACATCTGAGGAATGGTTGGAAGATTAATTGTTAATCTAGAGAGGAAAAGATTGAATCTAAAAATAGGTTGTTATAAAGAGAATCACATTTCTCCGTGTCTACAGGGAAACAGGACAAGATAATCAGGCTTAAAAAATGCAAACTAAGGAGATTCAGGTTAGATATTAGGAAAACTTCTTAACCACAAGGATGGTCAAGCAGTGGAACAAATTACGTAGAGAAGTGGTAAAATCTCCGTCATCGGAAGTGTAGGACCAGGTTAGACAAACACTTTTTGGAAGGGTTTAGATAGGGATGATTCTGCCCTGAGTACAGCGTGGGTGGGTCCATATGACTGCCTGAAGTTCTTTCCTGTCCTGTTTTTCTAATGATTCTAGAAGGAAAGGAACAACAGACTTAAAGTCAGTTTAACTTTCAGATCCCAAGTGGAGTTTGCAGTTTTAACAGAGAGAACAAATATTGTTTTTCATATAATACAAGCACAGTTCACAGTAAAATCACATGAAACACCACCACATAATTTTTACAGGAACAATTATTATCAGAGTAGTAACACTTAAGAAAGAGGCAGAAGTATTCGAGATGCCGCTGTAAAACTAATTCCATATCCAATCCATATGACAAGCTGTAAAAAGAGAACATAAGATTTGGAGGCAGAGTTAGGATTGTTCCGATCCTATCACTGATAAGGATGTAGCTATAGATGCAAGATAGGGGACTCCTGTCTCAGAGATCCCTCTTCATATCTCAAAGCACAGAAAAATAAAATAGCTATTTTACCTTACTCTAGTCCCCATACTGGAAAACATAAAGCAAGACAAATCAAATGACACCTGCTACATATGCATAAGAATGAATATACTTAAGGCTTAGATCCTCAAAAAAATCACTTCCATTGACTTCAAATTCAAGCTTCATTAATTTCATTGGGAGTTAGCCACAGATCCTGGAAAGTCTCCGGTGCCAATGTAAGTGACCAGCATGCAGGTCAAGTGTGCGCAATACTAACCAAATTTCCCCTCATCTGTCATCATGCAGGCCTCTTTTGAGCAATACAAATCTGTTGGCAAGACACCTACCAGGTCAAGTGTCCATAATGGAACATAATGGGTGACTGAATACATGCATTCCTGCATTGGAGATTTAAAATAAACCTTTAAAATGCTTCCCAGAGTACAAGAGACTTTTGGCAGATACAGACTGAGAGCAAACATATCAAGGAAGAATGAACAAGCTGCAGAAACTGGTACGTTTTTATTTTTTAAAATGCTGCTATTGCTACTGATTGATGTGAACAGGAATGTCTTTAAGTGCCACAGCACTTGAAATAGTTGACTGATTGATCAAATCATGACAAGATAGACACCGAGATGCACAAAGCAAGGACTGGCTAGTAGTTTTCTCCTTAGCCAGCCAAGGGACACTACAGAGGCTGCATTTGTTGTTGCATTTATTGTGTTAGGAGTTAATGCTTCATGCCACCTCTCTGGCAGTGATAGCAACTTTTCTGATGGGCTCTGAAGGTACATAAACACCTTCCCTCAGCCGAGGAAAAAATGCAGTATATTGCAATGGTCAGATGCTGACTGATCTGTCTCCACTTGCAGCAGTTTCTTTGCATGCTGTGCAAAAGAGTCTTTCTCAACAAATCACATGCCAGAAGAGGGTAAAGGAAAAAACTGATGGGGAAAGGTTGACAGCAAAAGATTGTAAATCAAAAGGAACAAAGATGAGAAAAGTATAGGTGCACTGAGGTCAACAAACCTACTATAGATTAACACTGGTGTAACTGAGAGCAAATTCCAGCCCATTATTCCCGAGTGTACAACTTTGCTATAGACAAAGAGTAGCATAATCAGGAATTAAGGCAATAAAAGCTGCTGACAGTCTGACAGACGTTTCCCACAAAGATTACTTCAAAACTGGGATTGGATTTGGAGGTATTTGAAGGAACAAGAGATTTTTCCAATGACTTGTATGTACTGAGAGCCCACTAACGACGTTTCTACTACATGGGGAGCAACCTGAAGTTTTCACTTGAACTTGAAAGCAAATGTGCTGTTTTATGTTCTGTTTTAGCATTTAAATGAGGAACGAGCAACAAAAAGTAAGGCTATCTCTATATTGCCTCAATGTGAGTTTTATGATCATTTCATTTGTGGAAGAAGTGGTGGCAACATTAATGTAGACAGAAAATAAGAGGCATTTTACCATTGTGCGGACATATTTGGGGGCTGCTCTATAGAAGCTCATCACTTCAGTCTAAGCATGTCTGTTTAATTAAAACATGTTAAACCCATAAGCACATGAAGTGAAATGCTTGAGCCGTATATTGCTATAGCTAACCTTATAAGAGGAGGTCAGGTATCCAGCCTTGTTGGTCTAGAGGAAAAGGCAAAGGCAAACACAACTGATAGTAGAGATGATATCTTTTATTAGACAAAGACATGATTTTGCAAAAATCTTGTTGAAGTCTTGCAATTAAAGACATGTTTTTGCAAAACTTTTGTTAGTCTAATAAAAGATATCATCTCTACTGTGAGTCCTGATTGCCTTATAAGAGGATGGATTGATTTCAGTTATCTAAGGGTTTATCTCTGAAGGGGCTTACTCAACAATAGCTATTCCCCTTTAAAATCCACACCCCACCTTAATCCAAATGTGCTGCGTAGACAAGCTTGAAGGCAAATTTCATTGCAACTGGGAACGTCCACACTACGGTTTAAGCTGCTTTAACAGATGGATATATGGCTTCACACCCCTTTAGCCTATGGAGTTGATTTTGCCTTCACTTTCCTGACGGTGCCCTGCACTCAAGGCCGCGGGGCCCAGATCACACGTCTCAGAAAGCAAAGGGCACTCGGAAACTGCCACGCGGACATTAACAACTCAGCGCTGCGAAAGGTGTTAACAGGGCTTGAAAGATTAACCAAAGTAACGTCGAAAAGTCACTCCCGACTACTAGCAGAGCAGACCGTGACACTTGCCCCTTCCAAGCATTAGCATCTGCGGGCCCCGGGGCAATATTCCTATGAGGCACGCGAGCTTTCTGCCCCGGCCTGCGCCCCGGCCCCGGCCCCGGCCCCGGCCCCGGCCCGACACACTCGTTTGCCGCCCTTGTCCTTGCACGTGCAGGAGAGCGCGTCCGCGCGGCGTAAAGGGGACGGGGCAAGCAGGGCCGGAGGCGGGAGCTGCGCTGGCCCGGGACGGCTCCCGGTCTGGACATGATACCGCATCTGAGCCCCACAGCTCTTCGTCCGCAAT